TTAGCTAGGGGAAATTTTTTAAAAATAGCAACAAAATTGTGTACGAATAATGAACCGACAACGAGATTATAGATATGAACCAATCTAGACCTTTGCAAAGGTCACAGCAGCGAGGGGAAGGAATCATATCATAAATATATTTTAAAGTTTCCATTATTGATTTTCTTGCCCTTGGTCCATTATGTCTGCATTGAGTTAAATTTAAATAAATTTGTTCATTTTCTAGTAGCAAATTGAGTTGCATCGTTCGGATTAATATGCTTCAAAAGATTCATTTTCGTTTCATTTTATTTTAACTTTTAATACGCACTTCGAGATTTTTATTATTTTTATTTTTTAAAAGCAATGTGTTAAGTTAGAGAATGCAAACTACATGTCCTATGTATATTAGATGGTACCGAAACATGCAAAAATTTATCGGAGACTTTAATACAAACCCAAAATAATTGTAAGCTTTTTCATATTAATGTGAACCTTTGTCGTGTTGTAAAATGACAAAAACAAAGATGATTAAATTGGGGGAGGCGATCCATGGAACCATACCAAATGGGTCATCCCCACCGTTGCTCTTGAATGAATATTTTGAATTAATAAATACATATTTGTAGGCTCACTGACTTGGACTTTGGTGGGTAGGAATATTTTAGCACGTCCGCATTAACTTAATTGCTATTGTACCGTGGATTTTCAGTAATTTTGATGTCCTATTGAGTGTTTTGAATTTTATTATGAGGTTTTAAAGTTGGGCTGTTTTAAGAAATCGATGGTAGTCTTGTAATTTATAAGAAGTTCGAAACCTCTTTGTTATGTTGTAAATTGAATTTATTTTATATAGAATTTTTTTTAAAATTTGAAATTTTATATTAGGTATATAGTAAATTTTTCTTTTTATATTAGTTGAGAGCACATCATGCATAGGAACGTGTGCCGGCTTCAGCTTGCAAAACTCAACACATGGAGATGGAGACACGCATGAAAAGGAGAAATTCAAAACGTTTATTAAAAGCAGAAATTCAAAGCGTTTATTCCAAAAATAAATTCAGCTTTCATGTACCCACACCTAACCCAATATTCGGCTTTCATTATTATAAGTGAGTTAGGAATTAAGAGTTGAAAGTATTAGTGACCTAGTGGACCATCAATATTTTAACTGTAAATTATTATTTCATTTATATATATGGAACTTACACAGTATGACTTGTATCGAGTCACTTACACAAACATATGACACTTTAGCAATACGAATGAAAAATCCCCTCTCACAAGATCACCAGTTTATCAAATCAAACCATACACGTAACTAGGGATCTGTCATGGCTTGGCCAAGGAAATAGCAATGACGGGTAAATGCCGACTTCATTGAAAAAAATGAGGTATAGCTGATCAGCTTAATTACCAAAAGACCAAAAACAATAACATCACATGGCATACATACCTCATATTGTTTGTTTTGTCTATAAAGTTCTCCTGCATTTCATCTCGTTATAACCAAATTCAATCTTCTTTGCAAACTGCACTAGGGGCTCTCTCTCTCTCTCTCGCTCTCTCTCTCTCTCTCTCTCTCTCTCTCTCTCTGCGCGTATTAACCATACATATACAACATACACACACACACATATATATATATATATATATATGAGCTAGCAAGCTGGCCAACCCCACCTCTCTTTCATTCTTAGCTATATAACCGAACTCTACAATACGGTTTCTGCAGCAGCTTCTTTGCAAACTGCAAACTGCACGTACGGGCTCTCTCTCTCTCTCTCTCAAATATCCGTACACACTATATATACAACAATTGAGACATTTACAAAATATGGAAAGCCAGGGGATCCTATGTGTATATATATTCACCAAGCTACCTAGCACATCTTTATGGTGTATTAATTGTGACTTATACATTGCATATGCATGAAACAGGTTCTTACTGAGAAGATAGATATCAAGGTAGAACAGCAGTTGGTAGCTATATATAGCTTGATATATATATATATATATATATATATATAATAAGAAAGAGATATTTGAAGAATGTGGAAGCTTAAGGTTGCAGATGGTGGGAATGACCCTTACATCTACAGCACAAACGACTTTGTGGGGAGGCAGATATTTGAGTTTGATGCCGAGGCAGGAACTCCAGAAGAGCGAGCCGAGGTGGAAGAAGCTCGTCTTAATTTCTACAATAATCGCTATCAGGTCAAGCCTAGTGGTGACCTCCTATGGCGTATGCAGGTATTTATCCACTTAATTTCGTTAGATCTTAGTAATGTTCTCTTGTTAGACTTAAGTTTAGCAAGAGAACATGAGTGTGTGTATGTTTATCTTGGTTTTATTATTAAATTATTATAAAAATCTTGAAAGGGGTTTACAAACTTGCATATCATATATATAAAAAAAAAAATAAAAAAAAAAAAAAAAAAAAAAAAAAAATAAAAATAGACAAATAGTTAGCTTTAAACCTGTCAAATTTTGAATTCTTTTTCTTGTTTTCAATTAGCAATCATAAGTTTGTTCAATAATCACTCAGAAGATAGGCAGGTAAGGCGGTCGTCTAAGGACTCCAAATTAGAAGGGCCCTCAATTTTTATAAACCACTATATATATATATATATATATATACACATATGTATGTTACTTTGTACCGTATTAATATTATATTAAGCCCAAGTATTGTTATAAAAAAACCCAATTATCTACTCTAAAACATAAAAAAGGAAACTCAATAAAGGACCAATTATTATTATTTTTTAAAAAGTTAAAAAAGTTTAATAAGTTAATCTAGTTGAATATATGTACTGCAAGACGAAGCGCTATTGGAGGAAGAATAAGAAGGTAAAAACCCACAAGACTATTGCTTTATATTTTATATTGAAAAAGACATGGTAGAAAAACTTGATTATGTAAAGTTAATTGATACTTTTTGCATCGAAAAATTTAAGACAAATGATATTTAAGTGTTGTTTTGATGTATTTTATAAAGTCATTGTGTAAATTACATTTTGTTTGTTTCTTTTTAGGTTACAATTGTGACTTTGAGTTCATATAATTTTTTTTACTTATCCAAAAAAATCACATAAATATACAAAAAGGGTAGAAGGTCACATTTTGGTTGTGCCCTAGGGCCTCCAAAACCTTAGCACCCCCAATCAGCATCATGAATTAACTTACTTTTTCTCTAATACAAATCCTGATCCTTTTTTTTTTTTTTTTTTTTTTTTTTTTTTTTTTTTTTTTTTTTTTTTTTTTTTTTTTTTTTTTTTTTTTTTTTTTTTTTTTTTTTTTTTTTTTTTTTTTTTTTTTTTTTTTTTTTTTTTTTTTTTTTTTTTTTTTTTTTTTTTTTTTTTTTTTTTTTTTTTTTTTTTTTTTTTTTTTTTTTTTTTTTTTTTTTTTTTTTTTTTTTTTTTTTTTTTTTTTTTTTTTTTTTTTTTTTTTTTTTTTTTTTTTTTTTTTTTTTTTTTTTTTTTTTTTTTTTTTTTTTTTTTTTTTTTTTTTTTTTTTTTTTTTTTTTTTTTTTTTTTTTTTTTTTTTTTTTTTTTTTTTTTTTTTTTTTTTTTTTTTTTTTTTTTTTTTTTTTTTTTTTTTTTTTGTTAAAAACAACCATTATGTGTATAACTTATAAGCAATTCACTGAGTTTGAAAGGTAATATTTTCCTTAAGAAGAGCGAACGAATACGAGTCTATCAGTTTTGTCATCTGAGCATACAGGGAGAAAGTAACCTGAAATCTATGTGCAAATAAGCTTTCTTAAAAACCATTGACTTCTGAGAAACCATTCTTGCCTGATGATTAAGAGGAGCTATTGCACATTTCATGTTGATGCTCTTTTGATAGCACAGCATTAGAGCTACAGTAATTGAAAGTGTAATGACCTGTTGCAAATTGCAATTGGTAAGTAATATTTAGTACCCAACTATTACCAATTGGACCATTCATTGGTCCAATTGGTAATATGAGAATGGCGCTAAGCAGTTCAAAAACAAATATGCGACCATCTTTTGGAATGTAAAACTTCTTTTCATATTCAGCCATGATATAAAGATTTGCCGTGTTTGATACAAATATTGATGGAAACAGAGTGTTTACTAGTTTCTCCCTTACCAAACCAGGAAGCAGAAACATTGGACCCCCATAATCCCCAGGCCAATGACCATCATGTGCCTGGATTGTTGAATAAAACTGATAGCTCTTCGTAAGGTCATTTTCACCACCTCTTCCGTCACCTCTTCTTCATCTTTAACTTTGAGTTGTGGCAGATTAGTGACACATGGATTCTCCTTTTCGAACTACATTTCATTAATAAGAAAGAAACATTGGTTAAAAACAAAAACAAAAGGAAAAAAGTAGTGTTGCAAAATATAGTAACTAAAAAACTAAAACACAAACTTCAAACCTCATATCCTTTGTCCTGAAATCGCTAAACTCCTTTGCCCATATTGTCAGGGGATTAACAAATTAGGCAAGATTGAGGAGACAAATTTTAAGGATGGTTACACGGTTTATGCAGCCATTCTTTAACAAAAACTATTATAGATATACCCAGATGCTATATATGAAAGCCAAAGATACAAGAAACAGAAAAGATGAAAATTTGTATGACCATATCACCATGGCATGCAAAATGTTGGATGGCATACAATTAAGCATAGGAATGACGACACAGTATTGAAAATACAGATCATCCGGAAGAAAGAAATATTCTAACTTACAATGCATATCCCTGCACATAGAATCAGAGAATGCAGTGTGAATATTTGACCACATTATCAAATTCAGGTGATTGTACATACATAATTCGATGATCCAGAAGACCACAGTGATATTGTGAACAATAAACATGTAATTGGCATACAGGACAAACCATACAGCCATATACAGTATGATCCATTCTTGGGAAAAGTCTTACCCAACAATAAACAAACACCAATGAATTGACAAATAGAGAAAAACCCAGATGAAAGTTCAAGAAATGGAAGGCTTTGCAGAAAGTTTGTGTTTGTAACCTGAATTCTCATGAGGAGGTCAGAGCTGTGCCGCCTCTCAAAACGGTTGTCCCAGAAAGCCTTGCGGGCATCTTCAATCCGTTGAAGCTCTTCTGGGCTTCCAAGCTCTGGATTGAACTCCCACACTTGCCGTCCCAAGTGATTGTTCACACTCTTCAGCCATTGATAACCGCCTTCTCCAACTGTCTCTGCTCCTATCTTCAGCTTCCACATTTTGACTTTTGTGTTTCTTGATAATCAATCCTGAAGAAAGTTCGAATTTTTTTTTATGTGGGCTTGGTTTTTAATTGGTGAAATTGGTCACTGAATTTTCAGTGAGAAAGAAAAGAGCAGAAAGTTTATGTTTTTCAACTTGCAATTGGGTTTCTTATAAAAAAGAAGGAAACTTGTAATTGGGCATTGAAATTTTGTTAGTTGCCAGTTGGGATTGGAGAAGAAAAAACTGAAAAGAGAGGGGTCAGCTTGGTTTCCCTCCTTTGGGGTTTGGACACTACGAATGAGATTATCAGTTGAAGAATACTTCATTCAATCCATGTGAACAAGAGAGTTTATTTTTCCTTTTTCTTGGCCATGTGTGTGAGCACATCAATACTTGTGGGTTTATATAGAAATAATAGATGATTATTCTTTAGAAGGTTTGGTGCGCTGAGTGGAAAAGAGGTATGATAAGTTTCCAAAATTAGGCAAGTTTTAAAGATGTTAAAGATTTTTATCTAATTAATGGTACCTAAGGGCAGGGTAGGCAGCCGCCTACTTCATTTTTGGCCAAATCAAAAATTACCCAATACCCAACACAATCAAATTTCTTCTGCCAACTCAAATCCACAGTCCAAAAATTCGATAATCTCGCTGAAATATCGGCGAAATTATCGTTTTTTTGGGGTTCCGAAATTTTAGCACAATACCATTTATATCTCGTGATTTTTTCGATAATTTCGAGGATATTTCGGGGAAGATATTCCAATTTCTCAATTTAAATGGTCATAATATCGATAATATCGCGATATTATCGCGACTTGAATTGTCAAAAATGAAATTGTCCAAATTTCTCAGTTGGGATTGGAGAAGAAAAAACTGAAAAGAGAGGGGTCAGCTTGGTTTTCCCTCCTTTGGGATTTGGACACTACGAATGAGATTATCAGTTGAAGAATACTTCATTCAATCCATGTGAACAAGAGAGTTTATTTTTCCCTTTTCTGGCCATGTGTGTGAGCACATCAATAATTGTGGGTTGATATAGAAATAATAGATGATTATTCTTTAGAAGGTTTGGTGCGCTGAGTGGAAAAGAGGTATTGATAAGTTTCCAAAATTAGGCAAGTTTTAAAGATGTTAAAGTTTTTTATCTAATTAATGGTACCTAAGGGCAGGGTAGGTAGCCGCCTACTTCATTTTTGGCCAATCAAAAATTACCCAATACACAATACAATCAAATTCTTCTGCCTACTCAAACCCACAGTCGCTGAAATATAGGCGAAATTATCGTTTTTTTGGGGTTCCGAAATTTTAGCACAATTCCATTTATATATCGTGATTTTTTCGATAATTTCGAGGATATTTCGGGGAAGACATTTTCGTCCAATTTCTCAATTTAAATGGTCATAATATCAATAATATCGCGACTTGAATTGTCAAAAATGAAATTGTCCCAATTTCTTATATAGAAATAATAGATGATTATTCTTTAGAAGGTTTAGTGCGCTGAGTGGAAAAGAGGTATTGATAAGTTTCCAAAATTAGGCAAGTTTTAAAGATGTTAAAGATTTTTATCTAATTAATGGTACCTAAGGGCATGGTAGGCAGCCGCCTACTTCATTCAAATTTCTTCTGCCTACTCAAACCCACAGTCCAAAAATTCGATAATTTCGCCGATATTTCGGGGAATATATTTTCGTCCAATTTCTCAATTTAAATGGTCATAATATCGATAATATCGCGATATTATCGCGACTTGAATTGTCAAAAATGAAATAATTTAAGCTTGCGCATCTGGGGGTTCGAACCTCTCCCAACTCGAGTGTATGCAGCCACTTAACCACCACGCTACTGATGACTTTGTGTTTATAAACTACGGAATATAGTATATATAATATCCCGACTTGAACTTTCAAAAATTAAACAATTTAAACTCAAAACAATTCAAGCTCAGCGCATGAGGGGGTTCAAACCTCTCCCAACTCGAGTGTTTGCAGCCACTTAACCACCATACTGCTGATGACTTTGTGTTTATAAACTACGCAATCTAATATATATAATATCCCGACTTGAACTTTCAAAAATTAAACAATTTAAACATATCATGCTGATTTTAGTCCAAGTGACTTGAAAGCTTTAAAATGAGTTGAGGTATTTTCAAAATGATATGCATAGTCTTTCCTACTTTAAGGACCTTACCACTCTTCCTCAGTTATGTCAACAATTGGCGGAAACAACTTTGGCAAAAAATACCATTTGCTTTACATGTTGATTCAGTTGGTGTTGACTCTTCTTGTTTCTATAGCAATAATAGAACGAGCTTTTTAATGTATGAGAATTATTAAGAATAGACTTCGGAGCACCATAGCTGATGAATTCCTTACTGATTGTATGATTCTCCACATTGAAAGAGAGTTTACTAATAATATCGATAATGAAGATATAATTGAGGAATTTAATATTTCTAAACCTCGTAGAGTAAAGTTTTATATTTAAATAATTTAGTTTTGTGTTGCATTGCATTTACTTCTTGGTTTTTGTTAAGCTTTTATTTATGTATAGATATGTATATTTGAGGGTAAGACTCATTACGTCCCCCCTGACTAGGTGTATCTTTTTATTTTTATAAATAAAATTCACTTGTACCGTCGAGTTTTTAAAGTAAGTTTCGCCTACTTGACTTTGAATATTGAATCCGCCACAGGGTCTTATAGTTCAAGTGATTATAAAAGTATTTACCTTTACACTCAAGATCTTAGGTTTAATTCCTTTCTCCCTCAATATGGCTTGTATAAAATTAGAACAAAAAAAAATAAAGAGTGGTATCTCACTGATGGCTCGGGCCCCCCCGGAAGGGGGTCTTCTTTGCCTTCCACCTAAGTTGCGCAGGAAAGGCCCAAATTTTAGCTAAAAAAATTATTTTCAGATTTTTAATCACTAAAGGGATCCTCGAGTACTGCTCAAGGGATCTCGAAGAGGATTAGACCCTAGAGAGGATTTGAGCAATGCTCCTCGAAGGATCCTTGAGTTATTATATTTCTAAATCCTGAAATTTTATATCATTAGAGTCTGAGGACCCACAGAAGCGCAAGGATGTGCAGTTGCACCTCCGTTCACCTGAAAATTCCTTAGAGTCTGAGGGGCAAAAAAGGTACAACTAACCAGTGGCTATGGAGTCAGGCGCAAGGTTTTGCGAAGAAGAAGACAGACTATACCTAATTTCTTTTGCTAGAACGACACCGTTCTCTTTCTTTGATATCTTTAATGAAACACCTCGTTTCATTTAAGTTTAGTTCTCCAAGCGGTGGGCTTTGGTTGTGGCAAAGCCCAAAAAGATGGGCCTTCAATTAACTTATAAATATGCGCAAGTTTTTGTTTGGTCTGGGGCAAAAGACTCGCCCACTTAATAACATATCTAATACTTATTAATAGGCCATCTCTTTTCTAAATTTAAAAATAAATAATAAATAAAAAAGGTCATCTCTATTTTCTATTTGTAATAGTTATGTCATCTTCATGTTGTAGTGTTAAATAGATGAGTAACATATCTTTTTATATATTCCTTTTAAAATAATTCAAGTTCAAAAGATTTATACCTCAATGTCTCAAGACTTATGCCTCACTTTAAGATACCAAAAATGCATACCCTCTATACCTCGTCTTTCAAAATATTGTCAGTCTATTGTCACTTTAGACTGAAGAAACTCCAAACATAGCAAAACAAATTAAAAGCAAGTTGATGAGATCTCTTTAGATATCTGAGAATATGAGATATTCTCTCCCACTTTAGATATTAAAAGTGAGTTCATCGAAGATTTGTTAGTAATTTTATTCTTTCTATGAATTATGAATGATATTAGTATTGTTTAAATTCAAGGGTATTGGATATTGTCTAAATCATTTGATGAAGCTTTTAGCCTTTTTAATTTGCCCCTTCTCTTAAAAATTCTTGGATCCGCCACTGCATGTATGTATTATAATATACATATACACACATATATACACATATACATTATATATGTATAATATATGGTATAATATATGTACCATTTTCAATGTATAATATATTTATATATGTGCGTATACACACATATATACACCATTGTGCGAAAAGTGCTATGTACTCAATAAGTGCTATGCACTATAATTTGGAACTCCGGTAGTAAACTGTGCTCCAATGTGCGAAAAGTTGGTGTACCAAATAGGATTGTTGGTTTCAAGTGAGATGGGCCAAGATCATTCATCACGTTCTTCACACCTCAAAATAGAACCTCTCTAGGTAGAGGGAGCAACTTTAAAAATAATTTTTCATTTGGAGGCCTCAAACGTTGGTTCCAAATATAGTATTGGCACGGCATCTATATCTAGAATCCATGCAATTGACAATCTCAGTACATGATCGTTGTTTCCTCCTAGTCCTTATTGATAATATATCAGAATAAGAAGAGAAAGAAAGGGATTGGAAAAGGTCCTACTATATATCAATACATAGCTATATTAACTATCAACCACTAAAATTTAAAAACTTTCAATTATATATGTGTGTAATCTTGTGAAGGAAAGATGAACAAATAAACATGTTAGGGTCTGATGCGTATTTTAGACACGTCGTTAAAAATGTGCTATCGAAATATATTTTTGTTATAGTGTAACAATAGTGTCCATACACAGTAAAAAAAAAAAAAAAAGTAAATGTCGGGGGTAAATTTTACACCCTAAACCCTAGATGGCTAGTAATCGACCAATATGGTGTTGAAGATGTTTGGCTCACCATGATGCGGGAGAAGGGAACTAAAAGCTGCAAGAGGAGCAATGGAGGATAAGAAGATGTCGTAAGAAAGGAGCAGTTGCGTGCCGAAGACCCGTAGTCGTTGACCAGGCGACCGGTCACTTTGTACCAAGAGCTCAAGTCGTATATTCATCTCTAGCATGCTGTTTGACATTTTTGGCGTGTTTTGACTTCGTTTTTCCTATTGTTTTAGGGTTTTCTAGCCTAATCTAATAGGGTTTTAGTTTTA